AACACCCCCATCACTACCATCACTACAACCACCACCTCCACCAACACTCTCATCACCACCATCACTACAACCACACCTCCACCATCACTGCCCCCACCACCAAACCATTACCTCCATTATCACCATCACTGCAATGGTCCCCTCCACCATTACTGCCACTACTTACAACCACTCCGTCTACCAGCACCAGTCCCATCACCAATTCCAGTGGCTTAAATTTTCTTTTCCAACCCAAGCAGGAAGAGCAGAATTTGCAGGATGGCAGAATCAGACCCTCATCAGAACAACTTTGCATTCCCACATACCTCTCCCCTCCTCCTACGAGAAGTCATGCCGATGGGAAGAAAGACTCCAGTCCATGAGTCAGAAAACCTGGAGGAGGGAGAGTTCTAGAGGCCTGGGAACACTTTTGGGTGCACCCTAGTCCCCAGAATATCCCAGAGTAACACCCTTAATAACCTTGGGAAGGTCTCCCCACATTCCTGTCTTCTCCAGACTCTCTTATGCTGAGAAAAAAAAAAAAAAAGACTTACTGGCCCCATCCCCTGGAGTAAGTTAATTCCCAAACCAAACCTCAGTTTCTTCACCCGTAAATGGAGACCATTACTCCTATCCATTTTTCCTCTGAGAGCTGTGAAGAAGTTTGAAAGATGTGAAACTCAGCTCATCCGGTCCCTCTTCCACCCCACCCTTTCGCAGGCCCAGTGCGATCAAAGCCAGCTGGCCCCGTGGAAGGACCCCAAGCAAGAGCCCAGAGCTCTAGCTCCAGCCTCCAGGTCCCAGAGGCTCAGCAGGCCAGTTGACTTGAGAAATCAAAGGTTAGGGATGAGACCTTGAACAATTAAGGCTGAGACCATTTTTTCTTTATTTTTTTTTAAGATTGTATTTATTTATTTGACAGAGAGAGATACAGCGAGAGAGGGAACACAAGCAGGGGGAGTGGGAGAGGGAGAAGCAGGCTTCCCGCCGAGCAGGGAGCCCGATGTGGGGCTCGATCCCAGGACCCTGGGATTATGACCTGAGCCGAAGGCAGACGCTCACCGACTGAGCCACCCAGGGGCCCCTGAGACAATCTTTTCAACACATCTCTGCCACCAGCTCATTGTATGACAGTGGTTGGGTTGCCCACATTTTCTGTATCATAACCAGTTCTTATCCAAACTTGTAGGGCTAAAGGAAGGGAAAGAATATATTCTTTGTGCCTCTGCTTAGCAGCAACCAGTTTACCTGAAATGTAAAATGTTATTTCCAATTCTATACCTGAGGGAACTGAGGATCAGAGAGCCGCGCTGACGGCTCCTTGGTGAGAGAGCAGAGTCGGGGTCTCCCATGCTGTGTGTCCATCTCTCTACCCTGCTTATCTCTGCTGGACGGGAATGAAGGAGATGCCAGAAGGGGGGGGGAGGGGGACCAGGAGGGAGGTCTCATTTCACCCTAAACGTCTAGAACCACCACCAGCTGGAATCCCAAAATAGCCCCTGATTTACATGACACTTTGCTGGGAAGGAACAGGGTCTGGTGCCAACCTAAGCACTCTCTAAAAAGACCACTCACCATTCTGCCCTCAGAGGACAGGGCCCAAGATTCTAAATTCCTCCGCTGCCGCTCAGGACTAGTCCATCTTGAAATGATTCGCAGGGTCATTCTAACCACTCCCCCCCCCCCCCCCCCCCCCCCCCCCCCGCTTCCCCGCCATCCTGAACACCTCTGATAAGCTCTAACTCACCATCATGACGTACAAATTACAAGGAGGTCGTTTTTGATCAGTCGTGTTGGCAGGATGTTTTAAAATTGATCTCTAATGCTGATGAGTCTGTGAGAAAATGGGTCCTCACACACTATTTGTGAGGATGTAAATTACCTGCACCTTTTAGGAGGATACTCCAGCAGTGCCTTGGACCCATCGAAATGTAAACTGCGCTCAGGCATCAAAGGATCTCCTCCTCCCACCAACCTCAGACACAACTTAGTGGAAATCGGACAGCCGCTAGCAAATGGGCCAACGGAAAGTAAAGCTGTTTTCACCTGCCCGGAGATAAATGAAGCCAGTGAGTCCAAATTAAAGCCCCCTCCCCAAAAAAGAAAATTATTTTAAAGATCTAAGAAGTTCTCGGAATTGAGATTGTAGGGAAGTCCACAATGGCTGTGAGGCCAGTGATCTAGGATCGGGAGGCAATGAAATTGTTTTCTCCACTGTTAAATTCACACACACACACACACACACACACACACACACACACACACACACACAAATGCAAATTGAGCTACTTAACAACAGAGCTACCCAAAGTTACCTTAATTATAATAATCAACTAATCACACCCAGAAAAGTGGGGATTGCCAGCAATGAATGCACACCCACACACCCACACACACAGACACCCGCCTCTCTCTTCCTCTACTGAGAATGTCTACCATCAACTATTCTACGCACACCAACACATACACAATACACACACACTGCCACACAGAAACACAGCACAAGTCCTGGGTGGGCACCCCGAATCTCAACAAACGCACCAGTTTGAGCTCCAACCTTTTCAGTTGGCCAGTCCCACATTTTATCTCACTGCCCTGGGGTCAGTCTCTGGTGCTGGGAATTGCCACCCACTCCCCACGCCCCACCCATTGCTGCCCATGGAGGAGAGAGTGACTGTGTCACTGGTCCATACTGAGGGATGGGTCTAGGGTGGGTGGGAGAGGAAGGATCTGGGAGGGAGTGAGTCAGCCCAAGGCAAAAGGCCGTGGGACTGTGGGTAGGCCTGGACTGGAAGAATTTTTCAAAAAGGAAGAAGGCCGTGGGTGATGTGGTGGTGACTGGTAGGTCACTGGAGCCCCCGGAGGGACAGGCCAGCCCTCCACACAGGAGAGAAAGGGTGCTGTTCTCTGAACCCAAGCCTTGCTCTTCAGAAGCCAGTAGCGGAAGGAAATGGCCGCCAAGTTCCCAGATCACTGGAGCCCAAGCTCAGCACCAGGGTGATGCGGGCTGGTGGGACTGAATCGGGGGCAACGTGTTCCCTGTCCCCACCACCCCACCATGGAGCCCCCGAGGTCTGATTCAAGGGGAGGCATCCAAGAAAATGGTGAGGGGCCACTGCCCCCTTCCAACAGGGACCCCACGGTGTCCGAGAAGCAGTCCCTCCGCATGGATAGAAAGCGGGATTAAAACACACACACACACACACACACACACACACGCACATGCAATTATGAAATGATAGGGAAATTTGATGATATTTATGAATTTCTTCTCGGGTTTGTTAATGGTATTGTGTTTACTTTTAAAAAGCCATTTTTGGGGGCGCCGGGGTGGCTCAGGCAGTTGAGCATCCAACTCTTGATTTCGGCTCAGGTCATGATCTCAGAGTCATGAGATCGAGTCCCGCGTCCAGCTCTGTGCTGTGTGTGGAGCCTGCTTAGGATTCTCTCTTTCCCCCACCCCCCAATAAATAAATAAATAAATAAATAAATAAATAAATAAATTTTTAAAAAGCCATTTTTAGACGTGCATAGAGAAATTTTAAGGATGAAAGACTATAGTGGCTAGGATTTACTTACTAAATACTTAACACCATCACTAATATAATTGCAGACTAGGGGGTGGGAGGCGGAAGCGGGGTGAGTGAGGATAGAGAAGAAACAAGATTGGACCCGTGATAACAACTGTTGAAATTGGGTGATGGTAGGTGGAGGTTTTTCCTGTACTTTTGTATATATTGGAATTTTTCCTAATAAAGGAAAGTAGGTTTATTGTTCTAAAAGGGAAACAACAAGACTTGTCAATAGAGAATTATTCAGCAAGAACATAAAGGAAAGAAGGAAGCCACAGGGGTAGTGACAGCGACCTCACAGAGATGCATCCCCGTGAGACACCCCTCTACCCAGGCTGCAGGCAGCCCACAACCAGCCCCGCACCCCGCGGAGCCCCAAAGTGCTGGCCAATGCTCTGTCCACCCCACCCCTCAAGACTGGAAGGGCAGGGGCCTGGCAGCAGGTGGCAGGGAGACCTGGGCCGGGCTCCAGGGTGGGAGGGCTTCCTGAGCACCCAAGAGTAGAGGCCTGCGCTCAGGTCTGCTGTGTGACCGAGTGCAAGTCACCAGCCATCCCTGCGCCTCAGTGCCCTTAGCTGTGACTGGGGAGACCTCTTGGCTTGCGTAGCACACAGTAAAAGAATGGAAGTGAAAGCACTCTGAGCACAGCAAGGCCTTTGGACGGTGTAGGTGGCTGTTTTTACTCCTGGCCGTGACCGGCTGGAGAAAGAAACCCAGGCAGATACCGTCTGGGTTCGGGTGCCCGTTCTGCCAGCGACAGGTGGGCTGTGTAAGCTCAGAAGAGTCTCTTCCTGTCTCTGAGCCCATTTCCCTGTCTGTGCAGGAAGGGGCCTGGATAGGATCTTCTGGGTCCCCTCCAATTCAGACTTGATAGGACTAGAAGCCTGGGCTGTGCCTGGGAGCACTCAGAGGTGGCTGGGGTTGGGGGACGCAGAAGAGGAATTCTCAGAAAGCTTAGGGGATAAATGCCACACCTTAAAAGAAAATGCCAACTTTCCTGAGTTCATCCTAGAGAAAGAGGAACAGCTCAGCAACTTGAAGCTATTTGTAGTCGGTGGACAGATTCCTCAATCCCAGGCTACCCCACAGAAATCACTGGAAAGGAAGAATGTCCTAGCAATGCCTAGATTGAATGCCACCCCCCCCGGGGCTGGCATGGCCTCTCCCCTCTCCCTCCTCAAGCCCCACACTGGGTATCTGCCCTTTGACACCTCCCGGCTGTGCTGATGACACAGCTCCCCCCACCCCACAGCGGTCCTTCCAGGTCCCCAGCCTGAGCAGGCCCCCACAGGGAAGGATGGGTGCACACTCTCACATGCCAGACCCAGGCAGGGCCCACTCAGCATTGCTTACTAAACAAATACCAGTGGCAAGTTTCTCTTCCTTTCCCCACGCAGGAGGCTGTCTCCGGAAGCAGCACCCTTGGCCCCAAACCCTACCCCACATGCACTGGGCTCAAGGGACCCTGAGCTATGGAGCCATGGGTTCCCCAGGCTGGATCCTACACTGGAAAGTTTCTGGCCAGGGAGGAGGCACACTTTCAGGGGACAGACCTGGGAGGCAGCCGAGTGGCACTGACTGCCCTCTGGGACCCATAGCTTAGCTTCACCTGCTCAGGCCCATGGGCATGTGTGCTCTCCGGCAGGGCCTGTGCCTGGACGGGATCTGCGCCCCCACACACTTTACCCCCCCCAAAACACGCTCACACCAGACATATGATCTCGAAGTACTACCGGAAAGGAAACTTGGCCACTGCTTCTCCATGTCACCAAATCCCAGGCTTACCCACCTCCCAAAACTGACCTGTGCACAACAGCCGCAAAAAGACTAGGAGAGGTGGGCGGTGGGAGGGTGGGGGTAGGAGAGGTGGGGGGCGGGTTGCGCTGGGTTATTGTCCACCGCACCAAGACCCTGCCCTCTCCTCCATTTCCCTACACATAGGGGCTAAGAGGGGGTCCTGCCCTATCAAATCCAAAACACAGTCCCTCTCTGCCCACTGAGACCCCCACTGAGGTAGAAAGTGGGGCAAGGGCAAACCCCAATCCTGGGTGAAACCATAGGTACCCTCCCCCTAAACCACGATAACTTCTCATTGCACCCACTCTCCTCCATCTCCCTTCTGAGTTCTGCCTGCTGGTGTAATGTCCCGGGAGAAAACAACCCCCAGAACTTTCCTATTCTCACTACAACTCCCTCCCCACTCCCCCCAGAACCAAAGCCAAACTACTGAGGGACGCTGAGACTCGAGCAGCGTCTAGACAGAAGAAAAAAACCACGTCCTTGTTCCGGGCGGGCGGGTCCGAGGCTCCCACCCGCTCGCCTCCCGGGGCGCGCGTCTCACTCACCGTCCCTGCTTGGTGATGATCATCTCCGTCTGGTGCTGATTAAACTTGGACCACAACAGGTGGTTGTTGAGCGCGACTCTCAGCTTCCCGGACACCTCCAGCCCCGCCGGCAGCCCGTAGTCGTCCCGCGGCCCGGGGTAGAGTCCCGAGCGCGGGTCCGGGGCCGCGTAGCCGTCCCCAGGCTGGTAGCCCTCGGCGCTCGCCGTCGGTGGGAAGGGCTCGCCCACCCCGGGGAAGCCGGCGGCCTGGGGCCGGGGCGGGTAGGCGTAGGCTCCGAGGAAGCGGCCCGGGGGAGTGGGCACCAGGGCGCCCCCGGCGTAGGGCGCCCCCAGGCTGGCGCCCCCGCGACGGTCGGCCGCGTCCTGGGCGCCGGGCTCCGGGTAGAAGTAGCGGTTCTGCGGGTCGACGCCAGGCGCCCGGCCCTCGTCGCTCGCCGGCATCGGCTCGGTGCCCGTCAGCATGTCTCCGCAGCTCCGCGCCAAGATGCCCATCCGGGGCGGGCTGGCACCTTCCCGCAGCCGTCGGGGACCGGCCCCTCTCCGCGCGGGGGGAGGGCGGGAGGCAGGTGCGGGGGTCGCGAGGGGCGGGGCCCCGGGGGTGGGGGGACGCGGGTGGGGGGATGGGGGGCCCCCACCGGAGCCCGGCCTCGGACGCCTGGGTCCTGCGCCCGCGTTTGGCGGGCGCGCGGCAGCTGCCGGGCTCCCTCTCCAGCGGGCCGCTGTCACTAGCGTCGCGGCGCCTTTGCTGTGGCTTTATGAAGCACTCCGGGCTCCCCCCACCCCACCACCTCGGCGCCGCCCCGCCTCACCCCGCCCCCTCGTGGCTAATACTCGGCAAATTCTATGCAGTCGCCGCCGAGGACCGGAGGCCCCCGCGGTGTGTGGCGGGGCCCGCGCGCGCCGCGAAGTTCGCGCTTAAAGACTTGCCTTCTGGAAGAGTCCACCGTCCACCTGAGACGCCAGCCCTTTTCTCTCCTCTGGACCCTCGTGGAAAGTCCACCCATCCTTCCAGGCTCAGCTCAAAGGTCCCCTCCTACAGGAAGCCTTCGGTGATGGCGATGGCCCGGATGGGACTCACAGGGCCTTCTGGCAGCACTCGCGGCTCGGAGCAACTAACAGGGTCTGCACTCAGTCCAAGCTGCTTAGGCCTCGAACATTCAGCAGATCCACTGATGCCCACCGTGCACCCAGGCTCTGTGCTAAACGGCTTTGCCTGAAGTGTTTGTGTTCTTCCTCCAGGCCAGAGACCCAGGTGGGCTGTGTCCTAGGCATCTCGTTCCCCCAAGGCCGACCGGGCAGCGGGTGGGCAGCGGGCAGAGATCCCTGAAGGGGACTGCATCGCTGCAGCTGCAGATTTGCCTGGCCCTGGGCGGGCGGGGGCAGCCAAGGCTCTGGAAGCAGCACTGACATGCAGCTGCTCAGTCTTGGCACTGGCTCTGCCTGTCACTCAGGTACGTGTGACCTGGACAAGCCACTTCCCTTGCCTAGAAGTCAGCCTTACGTGCCTCATCTGTAGAATGGGGGAAACACGCTGTTGCACTTTTCCGAGGGGCTGGGCACCTCACCTGAGAGGGTGGACATGTGCAGGGCTTACCCCTGCGGGGAAAGCTGCCCTGAGCTGATTCAGAGCCGGGGGACAGGAAGGACACCCACTCGTTCCGGGGGGCTGCCTGAGTGAGAGGACGACCAGACCAGAGCTTTTCTTCCTCTATTTTCCTTTTCTGTTAACTAACACAGAGTCTTCCTATGATGAAAACAATCCCCCTCCCCAGCTGAAAATAGTATCTGGAAGTTTTCCTTCATACAAAGATAAAACATACTCATAAAAAATTTAAGCAGTAAAAGTAAAAATGGGACTGTATAAACCACCCCAAATTCCACCTCCCAGAGGCAAACAGGATTAACATTTTGGTGAATACCCCTGCAGACATCACTCCCTGAACACAGCCTTTCTGTCTTCTGTGTGCACGCGCGCGCGCACACACACACTCACACACAATTTTATATAAACACCACACGTGCTGCTTTGTAATGTGTATTTTTTTTCACTCAACAAGGTGTCATGGAATTTTTTACATGTCAATATATAGATAAAGATTTACATTTTTAAGAGTGTTTTGAAAAATACTTTCACATTTTCATCTTGTTAAAGGTTAACCTCTCCTCTCAAGTACCCTCCCAGACCTCCTCCCTTCTCCCCTGGGGGCTGGCCCCATCTCCCATCTCTGTCCCAGCCCAACAGAGCTTCACCCTTAGGGGTCCATGGGGACTCTCTGCTCCCAACTAGAGCTGAACCAAGAGGCAGGTTGGCAGGCGAAGGCGAAGCTGGGGACCCCAGGAGGCAGGCATGACCCAGGGAGGATGGGGGAAGAGAGAAGTCAACACATCCCCTGAGGATGGAGACCAGATCTGGGCACTGGCCCCTCCCCCACCAGTACCCACCATTCCCTCCCCACCCCCATGCCTTAGGGAGGCAGGAAGTTTCTGCCTGCTGTTCCAAGTGAGGCAGGCTTGCCTGAAAGAGATGGTGACCTTGGGACCCTTGGCTACTTTTTGAGAAACATGAGAGATTTCAGTATGACTTCCCTGAATGATTAATTTCCCCAGGGGGTTTGAATGCTGACATCTCTTTTGGGGGACATTTTTGCTAAGCACTTGGCTGTGGAAGGCCAAATGGAGTCCTGTTCCTCCCCCCCTCCCCCTCCTCTTTCCCACATTAATACTCAGGTCAAGAGATGGATCCATCATCCCTCTGCCTCTGAACAGAATGACCTGAGCTCCCACCCAAGTTTCCAGGGCAGGAGGGATTATGAATCTCAAAATCAGGTGGTCCTGGGGACATGTCCCTGGAGGAAGAGGGTGGCTGGGGGCGGTCTCTCTGTAACCTAATGGGCTGTTAGGGGGCCATCAACCCCAGATTCCTCACCCCCTCACTCCAATTTCTTCCACCCAAAAAAGAAAGTGCTTGTGAAAAGTGGGGGCTGAGTGGCCCTCATGTCACACTGCCAGTCCCGCCCCTCCGCCGGCTTGGGTGAGAAGAACCCTCGCAGTGACACCTCCTCCTCTTGTTGCTGCCTCACCCTCTTCCCAGGCCCCAGGGCTGGAGAGGTGGGAAAGGAGGAGCAGGAGACCAGGCCCCGTGGGATACCCTCACTTCTCCATCACTGGCCCTCCCGGCCCATCTCCCATCCCATTGACCTGCTGAGCTTCCAGAAGGCTGGTTTACCAGGAGAAGCTACACAGGGTGTGTGTCCAGGATTTGAGAGGCCTGGTCTCCACCACATACCACGTGTTATGACACAAGCTGGACGGTGACGATGGGAAACCGAATGACCCGACAAACTCACACACCCTACTCATGGCCGAGCCAGGGCTGGAACCCTGGTCTCTTGACTCCCTGGTCCAGTGTTCTTCTCACGAGAGTGTCTGCCTCCCCATTTCGAGTCAGAACAATAATAATAAATGAAAAGTCATGCAATCGCGTTAGAAGAGGTTTGGAAAACCGGAAAGAAAAGTGCCCCTCACCCACCAGCTTGGAGACTAGTTTTCTTCACCCTGGTGTCCCATGCCCATTTTCAAGGCTCCTTTTTCAAGCCGTTCCAAGACTCAAAATGAGTGAGGCCCCCTTGATGTCACACAGCACCTGCTGCACCTGTGGGTCACAGACTGTGCCAGAAGGCTCTAACAATGTGCATTCCTGGGACCTGCTTCTGGAGATTCTGATTCCCAGGCCTATGGCAGGTCCCCAGAATCTGTGTGTTCAAGGAGGACTCCAGGTGACACTGGGCTCCAGGGAGTCCACACATCGCACTCTGGGCTCCCCTCCCCTCCGCTCTTCTACCCCTGAGCCTGGCGCCGTAGAACGACCTTCCGCATGCCCGATCTTGCTGCCGTGTGCCTCCCTACGGTGGGTGGAAGGGCTTCAATATGCCCCAGGACAGCCACCACCAGCATAAAGACTTTCTTATCAAAGCTTCAGGACCGGATGATTCCCTCCTCACTGCAGAATCTAACTGCCACGCAGGGTCCTCTCCTTAAAACGTGTGGAGTGTCGGGGCACCTGGGTGGCTCAGTTGGTTAAGCGTCTGCCTTCAGTTCAGGTCATGATCCCGGGGTCCTGGGATCGAGCCCTGCATCGGACTCCCTGCTCAGCGGGGAGCCTGCTTCTCCCTCTCCCTCTGCCTCTGCCCCCACCCCCCACCCTCATGTTCTCTCTCACTATCTCTCTCTCTAAATAAATTTTTTAAAAAATGTGTGGAGTGTTGAGCTCCCCCAGGATGCAGGAGGCTCCTGAATGGGCTCACAGTGCACAGTGCAGGGAGGGCTGGGCAGCCAGCTGGGGGCAGGGGGCGGGGCGGGGGGGGAAGCTGGGGGCTGTGGAGACTCAGAGGCGGGCCCCGGGATGTCTCCCCTCCACCCTGCTGGGCCCAGCCTGAGAGGGTAGCTGGGTGAAGGAGAGGGGGACAGCACGTTGGAGATGAGGCAAGGAAGGAAGGAGGGCCAAGTGTGAGGCTTGGGCCATTCTGAAAGAGGCATTTAGAGATGGAGAGAGGCAGGGGCCACAAAGTCCGCACATGCCTCAGTGAGGAAGTCTCAGGTGGGGCGACGGGGGGTGCAAGGGGTGCCTGGGTGGTTCAGTCGGTTAAGCGTCTGCTTTCGGGTCATGATCCCAGGGTCCTGGGATCGAGCCCCACATCGGGCTCCTTGCTCGGCAGGAAGCCTGCTTCCCCTCTACCTCTGCTCCTCCCCCTTCTTGTGCGCGCTCTCTCTCTCTGTCAAATAAATAAATAAAATCTTTAAAAAAAAATAGGGGGTACAAGACAGAAGAGAGGGAGATGGGCCAGGGAGAGGGAGGTGTATAGAGGCAAAGCTGCCTGTGAAGGCTGGGGGTGGGGCAGAGGGAGATGGGGGGGCGGGCTTAGAACCCCAATTCCAACCCTCGCTGGCTGTGTGACCTGTTCCAGTAGCTCAACCTCTCTGGTTTCCTGGTCAGCAAAAAGCCAGTAGACCTTCTACAAGGACAAACTGGGTGAACTGTATCTCAGGGGAGCTGTGAGGTCGTGTAAAGGGGAGGGTTTTGGCCCCAAGACAGGCACGGGTCAGCGGCCCCGGCTGGGCTAAACTGTCTCTGATCCCCTCTCTTCCAAGCTGGCCGCATCCTAGTCTCCTCCCTCTGGCGGCCGGGAGCCCCTCACGAAGCGTCCTTCGGGCCAGCCTCCAGCCTTCCACTAAGGGCCGCGGGCCTAATGGGAGCTTCTCTGTAAGACTCCACCTCAGAAAGGACAGGCTTCCCCTCCTGAAATGCCCATCCACCATTCCCTGGAGGCCCGTGTCTCTGAGATGGGCCAGCCCCCCACCCAGGGACTCTGGGGTCACAGGGATCAATCAGGCTCAACCCCTTACCCCAAAGAGCTCCTAGCAGCGTGAGGCCAGGGCCAGAGTTCTTGAGCCCCTCAGCCCACTTGGCCCTGGAATCCCACAAGCCTGTGTGGATACATGACCCCCAAGGGCACGCACAGCCCACAGAGCTCTGCTAGACAAACCTGTGA